GCTTTTCATAATGACACAATAATTTATTATACCAAAAGGGGGCACACATTTAACAATTATGGTAGATATAGTGTATATTTTATGTATACCTTCCATGGTTTCTAAGGTTCGTACAGTCGAAGGGGTTGATTCATAAAACTTTCACCCTGCCACATGCTGGGTGAACACTGCAAGGGTTAAAAATGTTGTTCCTTTAAAAGCTTGTTAGCTTTCTTGCCTTGCCTATGGCAATACACTATAATCAAGAACCAGAAATATTGTTTTGAACCAATTTTGTCAATGACCTCTGAAGTTACAACTACCCAGAATCCAGTACTTGCTCTATTAAGGCTGGCCATTGATCTTTGTCCCTGGTAACAAGAATCATTTTATATCAGGACCTTGTTATTCAAAACTTACAGTAGTCAAGTGGAAATGCACACTGGTTCCCACACTATATGAAATGACTAATATTTGAAATTCTTGTGTCTTTTAGGAGCTATTAAGAACCATAAATCGTCTCTGTATACAGGGGCGTATCTGCCGCGAGGCAAACAAGGCGTTTGCCTGGAGCGGCACTTGCTGTGGTTCTCTTCCTTTGATAAATGTTATTTATCAAGGGAAGAGAACCAGAGGCTATCGTAGCGGCGGGGACGAGGCCGGCATGTGGGGACGAGGACGGCGGGTTGCGGCGGTGTCCAGCAGGCAGCGGCGCTTTGTAATGCCCGGTGAGTGACCGTCGGAGGTGGTTGTCTATCAGCTTCTGTATACTCACACATGGAAAGAGTGACTTTCTAGTCCTAACTGTACTCACAATCACAATATCTAAAGCTTTTGTCTGAGATTTCCGTACAGTTTCCTTTACCTACAATTATGCCGAGCTGGCCCTTTCCTTGAGTCTCTTCTGGATAAGATGTTAGGTATATTCTCGTGTTTCTTTGCTTCACGTGTACCCTGTAACACAAATGACTCAAAGGGAATCTGTGTCCAGACGATGAAAACTAAGGGGTTCGCTCTTCGAACTTTCTTGAACCAGGTATACCTTGCGGGCTGAACTAAAAAAAATTGAACAGATTCCTCTATCAACACTTCGAGCATGGGTGGAGGATTCCCCTGCTGTTTTGCACTGTGTTGCCGCTGGCAGAGTACCCAAACGAAGCTTGCAGCTGATGGGCTACAAGCTTTGTTTGACCAAGAATTTTCCCACTTTCAATCAGCTGATCGAATTGGCACTGTGTATACCCTACATAAGTCATAGATTTGCACTGCATTATGGCCACTGAATGGGGCTGAGGAACGTAGGAGCTTTCTATGCTCCTTGGTTCCTTTTAGTGGCCATAATGGCAGTGATACTGTGAAAAGTTCACAACTAATGAACTTTGGGAAGCCCAGGTATTCTCTTCAAACCCATGGAAATGCTGAACCCAAACCCATCCCTAGTGGACACCTAAAGAAGGACCCTCTCACTCTGCAGCAAGGAATATAGAAGACTTGGCACCGTGTATTTAGGTTTTTTTTAACTGCTGCAGTAATTAGCAAGAGTTTGGGGGACTCTGGACAAAGCACAGAATTGGCAACAGAATGGATCTATCACTGGTATATTATACCTTATGTAATTTGGCAAATGTACCTTTACCTTTGTGCCCTAAAAATGCATAGATGGAAAAGAAACAGGTATGTTCTAGTGGACTTGTAAATGAATTGGCATTTTGTATGTCTGTGCTGTTTTTTGTTACTTTAAAATCTACAGTGTGCTATTTGGCTTTTCTGTAAGATTGATTTTCTCCACCTGTTATTCAAAGAATCTGTGACCATTCAGAGAATTGCATCAGCTATAGGGCAAAATTAACAGAAACAGCTAAACTGGATATCTGCTGCCACCTGCTGTTGGGAGAGAAGATAACACTACTGACTACAAGTATGCAGAAAGCAGTAGATATAAGCAAGAAAAACTTTTTCAAAGGGATAATACTTACCTGTGCCTCCGCCGTACGCTCCCGTCTGAACATCTGAAAATGTATCGGGCAGCCGCAAAGGATCTTGGGGCGGGTGCAAGCGCAGTTCAGATGTTTGACCGGGAGAGGAGGAGACACAAGGTAAGTATATGAGCAGCGTGCACCCGCACAGACACCGTGGGACATCACAGAAGAGGAGGACGGAGGAGTCAGCGCTGGATCCGAGACCCGCACCAGCGCTGGATGGACAGCTGAAAAGGGCAGTAAAGAAGAAGATCAGATTAAGGGGCATCATTTAAGGTAAGTCCTTACACTAACATTGTGGGGGAGGGGAGACCTTTTGACTTTAATGTCACTTTAACAACCCTCCATCTCTTCTTCGTTACTGTAAACTTGGTCTAAATAGGAAAAAAAAAAACACATTTTTGTGTTTGTCCTTTTTTTATTGGAAAATTTTTTAAAAAAAATAAGTTAAAAACACAAATACAGTTATATTTAAAATACTTAAATATTAAAACAATATGAAAACAGTTTGGAGTAACACTTGCTAATTGGCATTTTCTTGTGGTCTTATAAAGAGGGAACAGAAAAATAGAGGACAAAAGTGCATCTGAATCAGATCAAAGAAATTGCAGGATAAGTGTTCCCAGGTTCCAGCATCATCTTCCTTCTAAACCCTCACCCACATGCACTGGAGCCTAGGAGGGAGAGTGTAAAGCACAGAATCATATGACAAAAGCTTGCTGTTCAATCCAAAAGCAGTGGGAATCTGGATGCAAGAATTAACAATAAGGGCTTGGTCACACCATGTCCGGATCATGTCCAGACCAGCACAGTTTGTTCCCTGACCAAAAAAGCATCCCAATGTATCCCTATGGTATTTTTGGGCTCTGTTCACACAAGAGCAGTTGGTTTCCGAACCAGACAAAAAAAAATACTGTTTGTCTCATTTTTCTCTAGCCTGGAACACATGGAAACGCATAAAAGTGCATACAAACACACTGGACCGCACCTGAAAGCCTATTTTAAGCTATAAAAACAAAAACCTGCTCTGGAACGCAAAACTCACCGCATTCCCGACCTGGTCCGGAAAATGGTGTAAACCTGGCCTCAACTAAGTGAATTTCTTGACCTTAGCTTAGCTGCAATATTTCCTGGACAGCAGTGCCAGCTCTGTCGCCTATTTTCCAAGTTACTTGGCAGTGGTGCTCCTATAGACAAAACTACAAAGCAGATCTGTATTGTTGAACACCTTTTGTTACCCAAAGTCCAAGTAGTACCGTAGTATTGTAGTGTCAGGAACATATCTCAGCAGTTACAGCCACACCTGTAACTCAGTCACCTTAATCCGGTCACCATGAACTGTGTCATGGCAGATGCTGATTATTCAAGAACATGACACGAAGTGTTTAAAACCTTTATACCTCCAGTATGTTCTTAGACATTGAAAATCTGCCTTGACCCATTCCACAGCGAGTGGAGTAAGGCAACTGTGTTATCCATGTGGCTCTAAACACTGGTGTATGTTCCTGACAGGCATTAGAGCTGAGGAATCTACCTAAATAAGTAGTCAAACATCTTCAACATTACAGAACAAGTCCAGATGAATGTGACTGACTGCTATCTAAACCAAGACCTAGATAACTGAGAACCTTTATAGACTTACAAAGCATTTTATTATCTTCATATTCTCTACTGAGCGCCAAAGTTCACACTTTCAAGGATTCCTTCTAAAGTGACTAGGATTTCCTCTGCCACACATGGTAATTGGTGGCCTTCTGTATATAGACTGCAAGATTACAAGATGCCTGCTTCAGGAATCCAATAAAAAGAATGTGTGTCTGAAAAAGGGGCCATGGTGACATAAACCTTTACAAAAGAAGGACTGCTGGGTCTTAACTGAATGCTGGTGGTGGAGAAGGAAGGGGGGGTGAGAGTTGGTCCACGTTACCTTAAATGGTTACCAACCTGGGCAAATCAAACCCAGAATATGTTGAGGAAAGTCTAAGTAAAGGTTACTAGATATATAGAGAACTGGAATTATAAGAAAATTTTTTTGGCAATTTTTAACTAATCCCCATTTCAAAGCATTTCTAGTCCTGTAATGTGACAGGTAGCCTCAGGGACCAAAAGGGCTCAGGAGAATGAAGAGGCAGGGCCAAACTCAACTTTTACAGGTAAAAGAAAGAACGCAGTTTCCTCTGACAGTAACCTTTGCCTGAACGCATTTTTTAACTATACAGTATATGCAATTTCAATTGCCCTAGGTTGTGGTAGGTTTACTTTAGGTTAGGTTCACACCTGGGCGATCCATGACCGTGCGGCAATCGTGCACTAAACCGCGTGGTCACGGAATCACCCACCACTGTCAATTGTGCTGTCACTGCCATCATTTTCTAATGGTAGTCGCGCCAAGCAGATTGTGCGGTTTCCCGCCCGTGCAATTAAACACTAAAAAAGCAGCGCGTCGTGTGTTGCAAAAAAAAAGGTACTTGTGATTGCCGTGCGGATGTAATCTCGCGGTCCCGGGACATGTGTCCTAGGTATGGCTCAGATCTGAACCTAGCCTAAATGGATCTCAGCATCAAGATGTGATCCAATTTTCCAAAGAAGTGCTTCAAAAATCTGTTTTGATATTACGTTATATAATACTGAAAGGTAAAGTTTTCTGTCTGAGTAACAAACTCCAAAATAAACAAAAACATTTCTATTTTAGTGGCAGAGCCGTTTAGATCTATGAATGTATTTTTTTTTTTGTAACAATTTTGTGTAAATCTTTAAAACGGGTAAAACTGGGAATATAAATGGTCTGATCTGCTACAGTTCATCAGGTAGGCTGCAAAGAGAAGATCGTCAGATGGGCTATGAGGAAATACTGTCACTTTGTCCTGAATGTCAATCATTTAAATGTTTTTCTTTTTTCATCAAAAGAAGGTTGTTTCTCTGAAAAAGCGATGTGGTTGTATTATGTAGTAGTTTACATGTAAACAGTATTTTTGCAGAATTCAGCTTTATAAAAACTCTAACTAAAAAAAAATGTAAAATATATAAAAATATATCTTCTACAGTAAAATAAAAAAAGTAACATTTACAAAACAGTCAAAACACATCACCAGGTAGTAAATAAATGCAGTCTCATATCAGAAATCTTTCATCTATTAGAGTCTTGGATGCCAGATTCTTCTGCCCCATAGCTCCACGGATGTGCCGGAAACCCTAACAAACAAAATATTCTCATGGTCAATAGGAAAGCAAAGTAGTTTCAAATAACAGAACTCTCTAGATCTTAAATATCACCTATGAATGTTTGTACCGTAGGTTTTATTTTTTGGAAAGTTAGGATTGCGAACATGCAAATTAGTTCTTCTAAACCAGGCACCCAGAATAGTTTGTTCCCTGTGCCCAAGCTGGGGGTCATGCTGTATTTGTGCCCACATTTACCCCTCATTCACACTAGAAACAGCCGGCACGTACAGCTCCGTGCTGCGTGCACGGACGCATCAGGCAGCTCCCGGGAAGGACAGGTGCTGCGTGTGATTAGTACGCCGCCCCCGTCCTTCTCTATGGGACTACGCGGCTGTACGTCCCCCTACGCTCACCCGCCCTGCAAGTCCGTACGGGTGAACGTACTCGTACGCTGACAGGATGGATCCTGTCTGCGTCCGAGTCAGGAAACATGCACCCGCAAGGACCTGCACTTGAGGTGAGCGTAGGGGGGCGTATGGCCGCGCAGTCCCATAGAGAAGGACGGGGGTGGCGTACTAATCACACGGAGCACCTGTCCTTTCCGGGAGCTGCCCGATACGGCCGTGCACGCAGCACGGAGCTGTACGTGCCGGACGTTTCTAGTGTGAATTAAGGTTTACCAGTTCATCTTCGATGTGTTAATCTTCCTTTGGTTTGTGAGAAAAGCCTTTCCCATTTCTCAAGCCGACCTGTTTAGTCAGGACATGCTGACATGTTGACTACAAATACAGGAGGACCTAAACTACTGTATGTGGCCAAAGGTTTGTGGAAACCTGAACATCACACCTACCTAAATGGCCAAATGTGTGTTGATACCCCTCCAAATGGCTGAGTCAAGGGGTTTCCTGTTTCTGTTAATGCTACAGCATACAAATACATTTTAGACAATTTTAACCTGGCAACAGTTTAGGGACGCTCCTTTTCTGTTGCAGCATGACTCTGCCCCTGTGCACAAAGCTAGCTCCACAAAGATATGGTTTGAGAAGTCTTTTGTTGGAACAGTCAAGTGGCCTGCAGAGCCCTGACCTCAACCCAAGTGAACAACTAAGAGATGAATTGGGGGGCCAATTGTGAGCCAGGTCTTCTTGTCCAACATCTTGTGGCTGAATGAGCACACTATACAGGAGACTCCTACCGCACTCCTTACTGGTATGCCCCCTGCGGTGGGTGCTGTAGTGACTGCAGATGTCGCCGCTTCAGATTCAAGTAGTAAAATGTATCACCAGCACACCGTGGTCAAATCTTCAGAAAGTGATCATTTTATTGATGCACACATATCTTGTCACATTTCGGGGGCCACTCGGGGTCCCTTCCTCAGGCATGACCAGATGTTGGAATGTGACAATATGTGTGCATCAATAAAATGATCACTTTCTGAAGATTTGACCACGGTGTGCTGATGACCTGCTTTATTCCACAAACACACTAGACACAGACAGCATTTTGTAGAAAGCCTTCTCAGAAGAGGTTTGTTAGAGCCACACAAGAGTTGCCAGCTCCAATAATTTCATTAATCCATTTATTAATGTCCATGGTTTTGGGATTAGATGGTAAACAAGCTCGTATAAGTGTGATGGTCAGGTGTCCACAAACTTTTGGCTATATAGTATATATTTTTTTTACCTCTTTAACATGTGCATGACTTTCAGAATAACGGGAAACTGTTTTTCTGAAATCCCATTTGGGTCATACTTTGTGGTCAATTTAGAGACAAGCAGTGCCTAGCAGAGATTTTCTGATAGTGAGAGTAGACATAGTTATAAATAGATCTGCAGTCTGAAAAGGTCAGATTGTGCTTACTCCGTCTCTGAAAATACAAAATAAACTGGCTACCGACACACCAAATGCCTTACCTCTTGCTGCAAGTAAGTGATGACTGCAGCCAGAACAAAGTTTTGTGACATGATATCAACAATGCAGAAAAACAGAGTATCGAAAATTAGCAGAATTGATTCATGACCGTAGAAGAGAACATCACTGAAGGAATGATTTTCATCTGTGGGGAGAGGAGACAGATTCTTCTTTATTCAGAGTAAGAATACAGCAGTGGTTATCATAGCAATGTAATATTACATGTGAATATTACTTACACAGCTGCAACAGGAGTGAGGGGTGAATCCCTTTGGGAAGGGGGAGTTAAAGGAGAAAGGCATCACCCTTCCCATCACCCTGCATGATGTCTTCTGTCCATTGGTTCCATAAACTCCATGCTGAGCACTCGCTCCAGAAGCAGCTTGTCTTTCACAAAGTAGTCCATGTCTTGAAAGGCCTACAACAAAAGCAAAAGCTTCTTTAGGTTCCATCATAACATGCACATTGGGTTAATGGGACAACCAAATTAAGACGACATTCTCCTTTTTATTTATTAGCATTCTGTTTAGTTTACAAAAAAGGATAAAGAACATTTTTTTTCTTTCCTTTTTCAATTCCATTATCTGTTATTTGTTTCATAGAACCAAATTCCAAGGTAAAGCTTCTATGGCTGCTCATGCATGTGGTTAAGAAGACTGTGCCTGTTGTGTCACTGCTTACTGGATAGTTAAGGTTATGCCCTCTTGTTCTTGACCTCCAATTTATGGACATTTGATCTAGATTGAGGTTTTCTTTTTTACTTTGTCCTTGTGTACCAAAAACCCTGCTATTCTGCCTGTCCTGACTCTGGCCATGCTCTTTTTTCAGGGTCTTAGTAGCCTGGACCACATATCTCCAGGTGGGTTGAACCCAGTGGTCATGATTTGGATAGCCAAGCACATATTTTCTTGCAAGGATCTCTAGTGTTTAATGGATAGTATTCAATATTATGTGACTTGAGCAGCCCTTGCAACCCATATGTGACAATGTAATCCCCCAGCAGGCATATAATATTAAACAAAAATAATTTTACACAGTCTTATTGAAAAGTAGCACTTCAAGGTTAGCTGATATAGCATGACATATACCACTGCAATTTTAAAATCAATTTAAATGCATTGTTTTTACTGGAGTTTCATTTAAACTCTGCACCAGAACAATGTGGTCTTAAGTTACACTTCAGTTTATACGCAGCATGCATTTAACATTGAAAGTGACGGAATCCAGCTTTCTAATGCCTTACACTTAAGTTAAGTCTAGAATCCAACAGACCTTTTCTAATGAAAAGGTTTCTGCTAGGTTGCTAGACACTATGCTCACATTTAAAAAGGTATGGATCCATGTGTGGCACACTATTTGCCCCATGATTTCGACCGTCGTTTGTTAGATATCTGAGGACTGTGGGTACGCTTGGTAACCTGACATGTGTGCAGGTATGCACCCCTTGA